CACAGGTGCAGGGATCACTGAAGAACTGGGAGAGATTAGCTGATCATCGGGAATAGGAAACTACTTTTCTGAATCTTGGAGCCTGAAAGGCTCCAGATAGCATGGACCAGGTTTTAAACCAGTGGAGCAAACAACCGTTCACGGTCCCATCAGGGCCATCCCACATTCCAGAGTAACAGGTTCTTCATCCTTGCTTAATTAACCATGGAAAATAGGCTTTGTCCCAAGGTGTAGCCCCTTCCGTGCCCCAGAGCTCCGCTGACCTCCCACAGACCCCAGCCCAACCCTTTGCCATCTCCCCTCCAGGAGCTCAGAGTCCCAACCCCTCAAGCAAGCAGATTTGTCCTGTCCTGGTGGAGCACCCCTAGTGAAACACCTGGTGACGAAATGTGCTGTGACCCTGGGGGATGCTTCCACAATTTTCACGCTATCTGGATGGAATTCTGTGGTTAACTAAGGAATGTCCTCACACTGATGGCAAACCAGTCACACAGATACTACTAAAGAAAACTGAAAATCCCCAACCGGTGACTCAGGTATCAGAAATTCTGTGTGTGGCTCTGGAAGTCCCACAACTGCTAGGCTGTGTCATCATGTAGCTGGTCTGGGCTGTGAAGAACTTTTCTGTGGCTTTTGGGTGCAACTAACACACTTGTTCAGGCTGATGCCATTCTGTGTCTGTTGAATTTTTTAAATTTTATTTAACTTTTATTTTACGTGCATTGGCATTGGATCCCTTGGAACTGGAGTTACAGACAGTTGTGAGCTGCCATGTGGATGCTGGCAATTGAATCCAGGTCCTCTGGAAGAGCGGCTCTTAAACCACTGAGCCATCTCTCCAGCCCCTGTGTCTGTTGAATTCTTTAACCATCTCCTTGGAAGAGCAAGTGCCCTTTGACTCCTGATATCGCTGTTTCTCTCAAACATGCTCATTGCTTTCTGGACCACATGCTGTGTGAGTCATTCCCTGATGGAAGCTCTTGAACAACTGAAGAGGTGCTTGTGTGATGGGGGAAATCCTTCTTCTGTGTGTATGTGCTTATCTTATTGGTTGTTGAATAAAGCACTACTAGCCAATAGGGAAGCAAGACAGGTGGGACTAGGAGTCGAGGAGGAATCTGAGAAACAGAGGCACAGTCACTCACCATGTAGGATGCAGGAAAAGTAAGAGGTCTGGACCCTTTTCTCCGGTAAGAGAAGACCATGTGGAAATACTCAGACTAGCAGTTATGGGTTTATAATTAAGTCAAAGCTAGCCAATAAGAAACAAAGCAAACGGCCAACAGCTTCATAATTAATATAGTGTTTCATGTGTTATTTGGGGGCTGAGACAGCTCAGGACCCAGGCGACTGTTGGGGAAGACTACATGTTACTCTTGTGAATGTCAGATGTGTGGTCACAGAGATCCCCGTCTCCCTCTTGACTGCCATGGGGCTAAAGCAGGGATATGGGCTGTGTTTGTGTGTGTGTGTGTGTGTGTGTGTGTGTGTGTGTGTGTGTACATGTGGTGTTTGCTGTTTCTGCTCCCCCTCCCCCAACGTGCTGGCACTTTGCACAGCTGGCTTGATATGCTTGGGCCTGGGGATTTGAACTCAGATCTTCATGCTTGCACAACAAATAGTCTCACTCATTTAGCCATCTCCCTAGTCCTCAGGCTAGGCTTCTTTAAAAAAAGTATTTTAAGCCAGGCATGGTGGTACACACCTTTAATCCTAGCACTCAGGAGGCAGAGGCAAGCAGATCTCTGAGTTTGAGGCCAGCCTGATCTTCGGAGTGAATTTTAAGACAGCCAGGGCTACATAGAGAAACTCTGTCTCTAAAACTCACACACACACACACACACACACACACACACACACACACACACACACTACATAGAGAAACTCTGTCTCTAAAACTCACACACACACACACACACACTACATAGAGAAACTCTGTCTCTAAAACTCACACACACACACACACACACACACACACACGATTTAAAATGTTGAATTAGTACTGTGTGCTTTGGGGCTAGGACAAGAGCATGCTTGCTCTAGGCCTTCTGTGCCAGCTCCCGACCACTGTCTGTGCAAGTGAGTTCTCAAGCGTCTGTTTGTATAACAGAAGATCCCGTGAGGGCTGCTTGCCTGAGGACGTGTAGAGCAATTACTCCACACTTGCAGGTGTACACAACAGAAGGGACTTTCTGCTGCACTAGACATAAGTGAGACCTGCTTGTTAAAAGGTTTCCTAGCATTCCAACACACCAATGACCTTGTCCTTGAGTAGTTGTATCAAGGACGGACTTCTTGGGAATGCTGTGCCAGGCACTGAGTGAGCTCAGGTTTGGGACACTGACCCAGGGCACTAATCATCTGACCCAGGGCACCTATCCTGTTCTGCTGTGTGTTTGCCATGGCCACTGCAGCTCACTGGGTCTTTGAGACTTTAGTAGAGGTCATGGAGGTAGGAAGAGGAGGAGCTGGGACTTGAACTCCTCATGGCTTCATGGTGACTCAAAATGCAGACCTCAAAGGGAATGAGACAGTTTATTCTTGAGCCCAATATGCATGAACATAGCTTAAGAACATAGAGTCAGCTTGTCCTGAATAATATGCTCCAAGCATGCCAACAGCTCAGTAAGTTCTTACAGTAATAAATCAAGGCACTTTTCAAAGATATAGTATTAGAGGAAACATCAGGTAGGTAGGCTATAACAAAGCAGGTGAGTCTGTTACAGGGCTCAAGTTCTCTACAGCATTCTTAGATTTGGGTTTGATGGAAGAGAGTGGTCTGCCACGAATGCATTCCAGAGACTGTACCCTACAGTAAAAAAGATACTAGGTCTGAGCCAGGCGGTGATGTTGCTCACCTTTAATCCCAAAACACGGAAGGTAGAAGCAGGTGGATCTCTGTGAGTTTGAGGCCAGCCTGGTCTACAATGCAAGTTCCAGGACAGCCAAAGATGCTGTTAACAGAGAAACCCTGTCTCAGAAAAAAAAAAGTACTAGGTCAGAAGTGGGTAATGATTGGCTATTAAGGAAACTAAAAGAAAGGCCAAGAAAAATTGGTTCTGGGTCTGTGACAATCCAATTTCCCAAGATTGTGACTCCTAACCAGTCAAGTGGCCTTGTAGAATCTTGGGTATAGATGTGTTTCTTTTCTAAGAATTTTACTTCACACCAATCCCCTGTGAACCCTCCTGGACTTATGACCCCTCCTGGACTTATGACCCAAACCCCTGGGTCTGGTTTCCCATTACTACTCCAATAGGATCTTGGGTTGGTCATTCTGCATGAGGTTTATGAATATTTATGAGAGGGTAACACATTCATAGAATGATGCCTTTTTTTCTCTCTCTCTCTCTCTCAAATGAGAAGGCAGATAAAATCTTCCTTTTAGGGTATTCCCCCCATAATTCTTCTGTTTTAAAAAACCCACAAATTGGAGGAAGGTGATCAAGACTACAATGCCAAGCCAGGAGCTCTTGGGGACACAGAACAGGGTGCATGACTAGGATGACCCCATTAGAGGGTGAGGTTTTCTTTAACTATTTTATTTGTTTGCTTTTATGTATGAGTGCTTTGTCTGCGTATACATGTGCATTCCAGGAGAGGGGATCAGATCCCCTTATAGATGGTTGTGAGCCACCATGTGGTTGCTCGGAACTGAACTCAGGACCTCTGAAGAGCAGCCAGTACTCTTAACCGCTGAGCCATCTCTCCAGCCCAACCTACTTCCTCTTTAACATTGTGTTTTCTTCTAAACACCTGTCCACAAGAACCTTGGATGGTGGCTGTAAGGTGTGCTACACAGGGCTGCCGAGATAGCTCCATGGGTAAGAATGTTCATCCCATTACTCTAGTTGATGGGACCAGTGCCAGCATAAAGGGGCTCACGATCCCCATGTCCATCTTTGGGGCACTGACATTAGCTTTGGTTTACCAGAGTGAAGCAGGGCAAGGGAGTTGCATAATTAAACAGTCTTGGTCACACTGTGGTCTGGTTGTTCACTGTCTCAGTTCTGGTCCTTCAAGGTGATGTCTAAGAAGCCCTAATTGCTTGAGGGGGCAAGCGGGTTATCTGGAGGCGAGCTCCTTCTTAGGGGGTGGAGCATCTGCCTGCCAACCCCTGTTCCTTTTTATCTCTTGGGAGCTCCTCTCACTCTCGGGAGCGGGAGCGTCTCTCCTGCTTCCTTACTATCTCCTAATAAACCTTTCTCAGTGGCTGTCCTATTGTTGTGGTGAAACACCATGGTCAAAGCAACTTGGTGGGGGGGGGGAAGGGCTTATTTCACTCACAGTTCCACACAACAGTCCATTATCAAAAGCAGTCAGGACAGGAACTCAAACAGGGCAGGAACCTGGAGGCAGGGGCTAATGATGCAGAGGCCATGGAGGGCGGCGCTTACTGGCTTGCTCCTCGCGGCTTGCTCAGCCTGCTTTATTACAGAACCCAGGGCCACCTGCCCACGGATGACACCCCCGCACGAGCTGGGCTCTCCTCCAGCTTCACTAATCAAGAAACTGCGCTACAGCCCCGTCTCCTACAGTGCACTCTTAGGGAGGCATTTCCCCCTCCACTCAGATGACTCCTCTCCAAGCTTGTATCCTGTTTTGCTTAGTTCTACGACTGTCCGGGTCTTTAGTGAATCAACAGACTTGGGAGTCACTGTCCCACATCGATCTTTGGTATCCCTCGCCCTAGGTCCCTGGTTCATGCAAAGAAAAAATACCCTCCCGCTAAAAGCTCCTGTATCTTCAATCATCGTGGATCAGGACTGTTTTGTTTCCTTTGAGCAAGGGTCTCAACTGGCTGAGGAAGACCTTGAACTTCTCTGATTTTCTTGACTCCGCCTCCCAAGTGCTGAGGTGACAGTTGTGCGCCATCACTACTGGTTTGTGAGGTTCTGAGGATGGAACTTGTGCATCGGTTGCTAGGCAAGCAATTTACCATCGAAGTAAGCTACATTCCCAGCTCTCTCGGGGATTTAAACGCCATCCCCATCACAAGTTCGAGGCAGCTTGGATGCCGTTTTAACGTGCCCCGCGGACACCCACGCGGCTCTGAGAGAGAATCCCCAGGACTGGTAGAGGCCCTCCCTACTGAGGGCGGGCAGGGTTGTCGCGGGCAGGGTGGCTACAGAGCAGGGGCAACCCGCAACCGCCGCTGCCAGCGGCCCTACTCAAGGAGCTTGGCTGCACTTGAGGCCACCAGCTCGGTCCACGCCGCCTTGCGGTCATTTTCAGAGCCCCTCGGGGTCCCAGGTCTCAGTGTCCCCAGCGGACCTATGTGGAGCAGAGCAGCTGAGCCTCACCACCGGCCAGAGAGTCCAGCAGCCCCTTCGCTGCGCAAGCGCTCCAGCTAGCAGAGACAGCCCAGCCTTGCAGTCTACTGAGCACGCGCGCTGGTCTGACGCTCCCGTTATACCTCCCTCGCGGCCGTTCCGACAGTGCGCAGGCGTACTAAGCCTCAGCAGCCCCGGGAGGCGGGCGTAGGGCGAGGGGGGGCGGAGCGAGCCGGAGCCTGCGGCTGCGCACTCGTAGGCCCCGTCCCTCGGGTTTGCTTACGGAGCCTCAGCTCTTGGCTGGGGAAACAACCGAGCTCTGCGTCGAAATTGAGCCTTCGGAGGTGCTGGCCGCGGACGCCACCGACGCACCATGGCGTCTGCTGCTCTCGGGCCGACGCCGCGCTGGGTGATGCTCCTCGGCGCCGCGCTGCTGCTGCTTCTGCCCGTGGCCTCCGCGCAGGAGCCTCCGGGAATGGGTAAGGCCCGGGAGCCCAAGGAACCTGGGGGTCCCGGAGGAGGGCGGCTGGGTCGGATCCAGGGCGGAGCCCAGCCCGCGGGCTTCGCCTCCTCTGCGCTCACGCCCTCTCTTGGAGCTGCGGGCGCGGCAGCCACTACCGGAGTTACGTCGTGCCCTAAGGCACGAAGGGCAGGCCCAGTCGGAACCAATGCCTTGGCACCTGCTTAGCAGCCGGCAGAGTCGGGGCTCCACTCGGCGAGCATCTGCATTCCTGTCCTGCCTGTATCAGATGCTGGGAGCCGCCACTCTGAGGAGCCCAGCGAGCTCTTGCAGAATGCCTGACTCTAGCCTAGTACTGTTTCTTTCCGGGGGGAAATCGGGGAGCTGGCAGATTGGGTCAAGGCCTGAAGCCGAGAGGGTTGGCTTGGTCAGCTTCCTGACCTTTGCAGCGAGGGCTGATGGGGCCCAGCTAGAGGGAGAATGTTTTTCTCAACCATGTTAGCTCAGTCTCTCAAGGTGTCTTTACACTCTAGCCTGGCACGGTGTGTTTTTTCTTTGTGACCTTTTGCGTGTTGTCGCGGCTCTGTTTAAGTTTCTTATCTGCTCCAGGAGTGCCTAGGATCTGTGACTGCTGCACTCTGGCTGTCTCAGGAATTGCGACTAAAGAGTTGACCCTCTCTGTCCAGGGGACTTGGGGTTAGAGTCCCCAGTGCGGACTTCACAGCGTGCAGAATGCTGGAGAGCCTGTGGAGGCACAGGACCCCTCCCAGTGGCTCAGGGGTGCTCTGATGAGGACTGCACCCACATCTTCCATGTCTTACGTGTGCTGGTTGTGAGATTTCTAGTTGACATTCTATAGGAAGATGACTGATGTTTACAACAATTTGTCTTCATAAGGGTAAATTTAAAGAGTACATCACAGTGGCCCCAAACTCCCCTTTATGTTATTGTGTGAGACAGGGTCTCACTGTATAGACCAGGCTGGCCTTGAACTCAGGTATTTGCTTATCTGTGCCTCCCAAGTGCTGAGATTAAAGGTGTGCACCACCATGCCTGGCCACACTCACCTTTTTAATATTCTTTGTGTGCTTCGCTGGTGGGTTGGCATCTGAACCTGTAATGGGTTAAAGATCCTGAGAATGAGAGTCATGAAGTTGAGGACACTTTAGTAGGGCTTTTGGACCCTCCCTAATGGTGTGTGGAGTCACTCTCTCAGAGCTTCATCTTGGGGAAAGTAGTTCCTAGAAGGACTGTGGTTGTCACCCTCCACAGGAATTCTCAGGCACAGTGCTGGCTGGTGGTGGTCACCAGGGGGTGAGTCCTTACTGAACAATGCAGTTTGCAGAGCAGTCTGCTCTCCTCCCTCTCTCCCTGAGTGAACTGTACTGGATGCTGCTGCAAGCATCCCCTTTGCAGTGCCCTGCCCCGCCTCTCCTTTTCTCCTCAAACAGCGAGGTGGCCAGGACTACTTTGTCTAAGCATAACTCTCCCGACATGACAGTAGAGATAGATGCTATTTGAGTTCTGTCACCAGAGTGGGCACTAAGCCCTTCCAAGTTTATGCCAGGGGGCACAGAAGACAGCAGCGTGAGCCCTTCTGCATCATAGGTTTATGATAAATAGTGTTTGTCTCCTGAGTTTTCAAAGTCACCCCCTTCCCGCATGTAGGTGTGTCCCTCTGTCCTGGATGCCTTCGTTGACTCACCTGAAACGTCAGGGACCCACTCAGAAATGAGTCATAGTTATTATCTTTCCATTTAGTTATTAAAGTGAGCGAGTCTGGAAGTTCTTTTAAAAATGAGTAGATAGCACCTGCATTGAGCTCTTAATTCATAATGCCTTAGAGTCAGGGTGTTCAAGATCAGCACTGAGGAACTGGGAGGACACAGTTTCTTATCTCCAGCGTGTGGTTGGCTGTGTCCCGTGGTGGGGTGAGATACCGTGTGTGGCCTCCTGAGATGTGAGCTGTGGGGCGGCAAGTTGTCCGTGTTTCCTTCCTTGCCACACGAGTCTGGGAGCTATGTGCCTGCCACTCATGCTTTCTGGTGTACAGGATCCACCCACAACTACAGTCGGCCTGTGGGGGAGGAGGGCTGGCCTCTGAGGGTTTAGATTTCCTAGTGGTGGAGAGGCCCAGGGTGGCCAGAACTCAGGATGTGTTTCTTGGAGCTCAGTTCTTTCGGTTCTCCAAAGTGCAGTTACCAAAACATCCCATAACAGAGATCCGGACATCGTCATTGCTGGGGCCACTGTGTCACCTGATAGGAAGCAAGGCCATCCTTTCTAGTGGCTGACTTTGAAAAAGACCTGGCGAGAGGGCATGTTTGACACACCCTCAGCTGTCACCGTAATGGATCTCAGCGTGGGTGTAGGCGAGCTGTACGGTGAGCTCACGGATGGCCCAGCTGTCCTCGGTGACTGCCTACTTACTTGCTGAACCACTCCCTCTCTGCTTGCTAGTATCTTACCATAAAATAGCTGGTAATTTAAACATTTTTACTGCAAATTTATAATCTTAACAGCTTGTTACTAATTTGACCAGATCATGGGACTAAGTGGTTGAGGTGGCTTGTACCCCTGAATTCTCCAAAAGCAATTTCCCCTAAGAAGGGGGATATTCTCCACTCAATGAGAACATAGTTGCCAAAGCTGGGGTGTTAAAATGGAACCCAAATGCTTGGTTTACTACACAGTCCACACACAGAATTACCAGTTTGTCTAGTGAGGTCCTTTTCTGTTTGACCTCTGAAATCTAGTCATTTTTAAGTAGTTTCAACTTTTACATTTCTGACCTCTTCAGTCTGCTCTAAGCTCTTCAGTCCATCTTGTCTTCAGTTTGTGGAAGACCGCAGTTTGGTGTTGCCCTATCTTTTTCTTTTTTCTTCTTTTCTTCAAGACATAGTCTCAACTAGGTAGCTCTGGCAGTCCTGGAACACGCTCTGTAGACCAGGCTGGCCTCGAACTCACAGAGATCCGCCTGCCTCTGCCTCCTGGCTGCTGGGATTAAAGGCGTGCTCCACTGTGCTCTACTTGGTCTTGCCCCTTCTGGTCTTTGTAGACAGAGCTGGGATCAAGCGTGTAGTAGCACCTGGCTGTCCCTCAGGTCCTGCCCCTAGGGGGAGGCAAGGAGCAGGGCCCAGGAGCCACCCTGCAGTGCCTGCTAATATTCCCACCGCTTAGTTTTTTGTTTTGGTTTGGTTTAGTTTTTGTTTTTTTGAGACTGGGTTTCTCCGTGTAGCTTTGGAGCCTGTCCTGACACTTGCTCTGTAGACCAGGCTGGTCGCAAATTCACAGAGATCCACCTCCCTCTGCCTCCTGAGTGCTGGGATTAAAGGCGTGCACCACCAATGCCCGGCTCCCACTGCTTAATTTTATCACCGTGTTTTGCTGGTCATTTTGTGCTGTTATCCATCTAGGTGCAGCCTTTCTTGAGTTACCTCCAGGTCAGTGGCAGACCACCAGAGCCCAAGTATTGTCTTGGTTTCCTTCTGTCTTTTTGAGGCAGGATCTCTGTGTAACTCAGGCTGACCTGGACCTCTGGAACCCCAGACCTCAACCTTCAAGTGCTGGGCTTGCAGGTATGTCCTGGCACTCCCTCAGTAGACCAGGCTGGCCTTGAACTCACAGAGATTCACCTGCCTCTGCCTTCCGGGTGCTGGGATTAAAGGCGTGTGCCACACCAAGCCCGTCTTTTCTTTTTTAAAGATTTATTTATTATGTACGTAGTGTTCTGTCTGCATGACAGAAGAGGGCACCAGATCTCATTACAGATGACTATAAGCCACCATGTGGTTGCTGGGAATTGAACTCAGGACCTCTGAAGAGCAGTCAGTGCTCTAAACAACTGAGCCATCTCTCCAGCCCCCCAATTTTTCTTTTGAGATAAGTTTTTTTCTCCTGTGAAACTAGAAGGCCTCAGTGTACCTCTGGATAAGTGTCCTTGTATAACCCAACTACAGTAGATGCAGACTACACCTAGCGAGTCATTGAATGACCAAGCATCTTCTCTCCAGGGTGGCCCCAGAAGCACTTGTTCTTACCCTCGGTGGGCAAGTTCCAGTTGTAGAACTGCTTGGGTTTAAAAGGTGATTTTTTTGGTATAGGTTTCTTTCAGTCTACGTGGTGTTGCTCATTTTCCTTTATTTTACTTTTCTTTGTGACTTGAAGTTGCTCCACTGTGTAGATACTCCAGTCTGTCTGTCCATCCTTCTAGAAGTGAACATCTGTGCTGGTTCCAGTTGGGTCTTTATGGATAGAGTCACGGTGAGCATGCCTGCACAGGGCATTCTGTGGGTGTGTCTTCTGATGTCTTGAATAAGATACCTCTAATGCGCTTGTTAGCATTGGAGTAGCCATTTCTGAAAATGGCTGAGCCAACTCCAATTATGCATCCTTGTTTTTGTGTGTCCTTGGTCATTTCTTCAAGTCTAGCCTATGCATGCATTTCCTTGCAGTTTTAATTTGCATTTGTCTGGTAACCAGTGACTTGAGTGCAGCGCTCTTCCCCCCCGAGACAGGGTTTCTCTGTGGCTTTGGAGGCTGTCCTGGAACTCGCTCTGTAGACCAGGCTGGTCTCGAACTCACAGAGATCCACCTGCCTGTGCCTCCCAAGTGCTGGGATTAAAGGTGCCACCACCACCCAGCGAGTGCAGTGCTCTTTTCAAAGTGGGCCTGTTTTAAGGGATGGTGGGGAGAAGTAGTGGGCCCAATTTGGCTAGCATGAGAAATACCTGATTTATATGTTGCTTCTGTAGTTTGATTTGCTGGAGTTCCAGGGCTGATAGCTAGACACACTTTGACCCTTTCCTGAAAACAGTGCTGTGGGTGCTGGCAGTATGTCCCAGGTGCTCTGCATGACTGACCTGAGCAGGCCCATACCACCTGGCTTCTTGTATGTGGAGAGCACAGTCCCATCTGGGGAAGCTTGCCCCAGGCTTCTAGAGATCTAGAGGTAAGTTTGCAGGCTTGGCTTTGCCTGTGGGCATGTCACCTTATGGCTGTGACCTCCTGCTCACAGAGCATGCTGATGGCAGTAGGTCTCAGCAGGTTAGTGGTTGCACAGTAGAGAACTGTAAAACTTGTGTTTGGAACCTTCCTTCCAGGAGGTTCCTTGCAGGTAGAGCTGTGCGCAGTGGCTCTTCTGATGACTTGCTTGCAGCAGGAATAAGTTGGGTGCCTTGAAGCCGGCCAGTGCCAGGACAGTCTTGATCATTCCTGGCGGAGGTTCACAGCATCAGTGTCTTCTCTGCCCTTCAGTGACGGATACCATTGTCTCTCCTGGCAGGTTGTTCTCTGTACACAAACAGATCCTGTGAAGAGTGCCTCAGGAATGTCTCGGTAAGTAGTGCCGTTCAGACCCATGCCCTCGAGTCCAGGGCGGCATGTGTGTTTGAAGCACCCTGTCATTTGGAAATTGTTGGGTGCTTTGCATGATAGTCGTTAAATGCTAGTCCAGCCTCTCTCATGCATCCGAAGCCTTCTCATGAAAGGCACAGGTGCCATCCAGCACAGCCAGTCTCCATGACTTGGGTAGGCAGCGTGGAGATGAAACCCTTCCTGGAGCTGCTCGGGACAGCTGGACAACAACATCCAGTGTGTTGGCATTAGATGACTAGAACTGCTTGCCTCTGACTAGGTCTTCTCTAGAGGGTCAGGCAACCTTCCAAAAAAAAGTCCTGTTGGGGGCTGAGGTTACAGCTTATATATACAATGACAAGTACTTGAGAGGCAAGTATGGGTTTGAATGCACATTCAGGAGTGCCAGCATTCTTCCTGCTTGCGTGTAGTGCTGTGAGGTCATCTCTGGCCTGTGAGAGAGCTCCAGGTCATGTGATCACTGGGAAGACTGGGCCAGCATGTTTGCCCTTTGTCCTGTTCTTTAATTCCTTGTGAGCCCTCGAGTCAGAAGGTAGCTGCTGTCCTGAAGCAGAGTTTCCTCATCTTCCACCCTAAGAAGTTTTGATGGGACAGACATTCATCTGCCCTTCTGAGAGAAGCGGGGAGATAGCTTCACAGCAGAGATCTCTAGATGTCAGCTTCCCCAGTGTGGTGGCCTGCTCTTTGGCCAGCCCCGAAGACTCCTCTGTGCTGCTCCTTGAGGCCGAAGAGTCTGCCTGGTCATGTTTAGTCCGGTGCTGTGCAGCTTGCCTTGGGAACCCGCAGGGAGGAAAGAACAGAAGTACACCCGCAGTTGATCAGAGAACAGTCTTCAGAGGCTTCTCCTGGGGACTCGGGAGGAAGGGCTTCATGGCATCCTAGGGCTGCGCAGTTCTGTGTCCCTCCCTGACAGTGGGTTAAGGACAACACAAGTCAGGGTGGTGTTTCCTCTTGGCTTCCTCCACAGGACAATAGGAACAGCTTAAAAAGCAGCAGTACCCAAATAACCAATATTATGAAAAAAAGCAGCAACAGTAGCTTTTAAAGTGATAGTAGTGCGGATCTGAGACTTGTCACTTGGTGAGGCTCCAGTGGGCAGTAGGACCAGCCGCTGCCCCTGCCTCAGTATCAACACTGGCAGTGTTTCCTTGACTCTTTTTAGGTTCTAGTTTTTCCTCTAGGAGGCTATTTCAGCCATAAAAAATAGGTTATTGTTGTACTAGCCTTATAGCTCATAGCCCTGGATTGTGCATTGAGGGCAGAGTCCAGAGAGGGACCTGTCCAGGTCACAGTGGGTTGGTCTAGTCGGGTAGAGCCTGAGGCCTGACCCTGCTCTGAGCCCAGACAGCAAGGCTTCAGTAAGGAAAGATGGAGAAGGCCAGCCCAGACCTAATGGCCTGCCTGGAGACAGGGTTCTGGAAAGAGATAGGTCCCTGTAGGCCTTCAGAGGACCAGTGGGTTGGAGACAGGCTGTGCCATTCCTCCATGCTGCTGAGTTGTTGATGGGCCTCTTACTTTAGTTAAAAAGACTACAACAACATGCATTGCGAGTGCTGAGTTCTCATTGGAGCTGGGAAGATTAGACCTATGACTTGAGCCCTTTTTAAAGTGGAAGAGTAACCAGAGATAATGCAGGACAGAACCACTGGGGTGGGAGACGTTCTTAGTAGCAGGATCAGCAGGGCTCTGCTGCTGTCAGCCACGCAGTGCCAGCAGCCACTGTGAAGACGTGGTGGACACTGTACAGTATCCCAGCACATGTTCTAATGTTCTTGTAATAGATGTTGCTCCAAACTGAGAGCCAAACCTGGCCTTCAGTCTTGTTGAAGAGCCAGTGACATGCGTAGTGCGTAGTCTGAAGATGTGTGATCAGAAAGATGTCCTCTTGGCTCTGGCAGGGTCAGTGCTCTTGAGAGAGGAATTCCTTTTCCCTGTGATGTGTGTAGTCTTCCCAGGGACACCTTCCTAGGTCAGCTGTGCTGTGTGCTGGTCGTCCTCAGCCCAGTCTAGCACTGTGTGGTGGGCATGCTGAGTCCTGCTCTGAGTTCTGACATGGGTTGGTGCATCAGCACTGTCTCCTCACTTCCCTTCCCGCCCCGACATTTGAGAGGCTTAGACAAGAGCCCCCGGAGGTTCTCTCCCACTCGTATCCTTGGTAGCATCGTCCTTCAAAACCGGACACTTAGTGCAGTGTACAGGTGGGGGACAGGGCCTCCTACAGTCGTGACTCCCCTGTGCCCCATCATCTGTTCAGCAAATACCTAAGGAGCACCTACCTCCCCGTTGGATGCTGAGGTTCCCTTGCCTGTGTCTCTGCGTGCCACGGTTATCTGGCTTCCTGCAGTGTGGACTGTGCAGTGTGAGGAGGCATTCTGTGGGAGGAAGTGGCAGTGTTGTTTGTCAGGGAATGGGGGCCTGGGTGGTTGGTGGAACGGCAGGCTTCCTTGAAGATCTGAGGGAAGAGGGCTCTAGAGAAAATAAGCAGGCTTCCAATGCCCCGAAAGCAGGGCAGCATGTCTCTGTAGGGTGGACATTGACCAAAGGGCAGAAGGACGAGTTAGGAGTATTTGGAGGATGCATTCCTAGATCCATCCACCCTAGAGAGATGGTGGCGTGGGTAGCATTGGGGACGGGGAAGTGGTCTTGCTTGTGGTCTGTTGAGGGGGTCTTCTGATGCTGGTCTCTTTCAGTGTCTGTGGTGCAACGAGAACAAGGCATGCTTGGACTACCCAGTGAGAAAAATCTTGCCCCCTGCTTCTCTTTGTAAATTGAGTTCTGCTCGCTGGGGTGTATGCTGGGGTAAGTTGTTTTCATTTACTTCTTGCAAAATCAATGGGTTTTGGTGATTCTGGGACTTGTGCTCAGTCAGCATAAGTTCCTAGGAAGTTACTAGGAACGCTGCTGTACTGTGACTCTCAAGGGAAGAAGCAGGGAGTCCTGTGATGGTCTGCTGTTGGGCAGGCAGCCAGGAACCTGGTGTGCTCCTGCAGAATCCTACAGCACTGCACAACCCACATCACGGGAGGTGGGGAAAGAGCCTGTGTAAAAGCCTGTTTTTATGTCCCTGTGTGTGTTGTGTGTCACCTGGGGACAGCTAGGAATCCCCAACCCACCTTTGGTGGTGTTAGGTTCGGGGCTGCACAGGCCTCCTCCAGCCTGGTGGAAGGAGCTGTGTGGTTGTCCTGGCACAGGAGAGCCTCTGAGATCTCAGCACTGCCCACCACGGTTCCCTCCAATAGTGCCCCTTCCTGGACTGGGAGTGTTGGCCTTGGAGCACAAATTGCCACTCAGGTATCTCCCATCAGTTTGTGGATTCTGTATTACCTTATGATCTGTGGATTCTCAGGGGAACAAGGAGGACAATTGTAGAGCTTCTGGAAATCCCTGTCCCTGCAGTCCCCGTCCCCGTAGTCCCCGTCCCCGCCCCCAGTCCTGAGATGGCTTTCCCAGAAGGAAGTTCTGCTTTTTCCCTCTCCACTAATACTGCCCAGCCTTAACTGCTTTCCCTTGCATATAGTAATGTCACCTCCTCTATTTGCTTCCCTCCAAGCATTGGCAACATCTGTCTGTTTCAGGTCCTTTTAGCATAGTGGGTGTTTTCTTGTTTCCTTTGACTCATTGGGTGCTGTCAGTCTGACTGATGACTGAAGGTGTTGAGCTGTGTCAGGTGGTGAGGGCCCTTGGTAATTGTCTTGTGCAGCCCAGTTCCCACCCAGGTTAAGGGATGGCTAAACAGCGCCCCCAGCGCAGGACGGATGAAGCTGCTATAGCTCGTGTCATCACCGCGTGCTGCCAGCAGAGTAGCTGGCGCCTGTGGGAGGCAGCCTTGTACTGGCAGAAGAGCAGGTCTTCGTGTGATTCCCAGTGAGCACACGTCTAGGGACTGACTCCTGCTTCATGGGAATACTAGCAGTTGGGTCTGGTCTTGTGATAAGGGGTTGCTGGACAGGGTTCATAACCCCCTAAGCAGAGTAGCACTTGAGGTTGGGCCTCTTAGCCTCCTGATGTCATCATAGGTTGGGTGGCTTGTCAGGGTTGTAGGCCTGCACTGTGCTTACAAGTAATTTTACAGTCATTGTTTTACTAGAATTTGCTACAATTTTTATTCATTTTAATCGAAATGACTTATAGTATTACATTTGTAGAAAAATGGTCTTTACATGTTGATCTTTTGCGTTGAGCAAGGTGTCCTTCATTCCCGTCAGGCCATATTTACACGAGTAGAAGTTGTTGAGATTCCTTGCAGGGTTAACAGAGGAGCCCACAGACGACTCTCTGTTTTCATCTGTACCTGACTTGAGATGCTGTGGGAGTAGATTGGATTTAGTTAGATCCAGCTGTCTTAGCGTTCTCATTTCTAGGTTGACTTTGACAGAATGCTGTAGTCAGAAACCGTACCACCTGCTGATGGCGATGACGGTCTCCTTTTTAGCCAAACAAGTTGCTCCTTTTTGTGCCTCTGCACTTTAAAGCTAGGCCCGTGTAGGCAGAGCACAGGGTTTGGAGCTCAAAGGCACCTGGGCAGCTGGCTGCCCCTTTCTGATTTTAACATGCTCAGAAGCTGAAAAGGAGTCTGTAGATGAACACAGTCCCCTGCGCTGAGCCTGACTGAGGGAACCCAGGAGCTGTCCTCAGCCTCCTCCTGTTGCCCAGCTGCACAGGTACCACACTGGCCCAGCAGAACCTGCAGCTGACAGCTGTATGCTTGCAGCTTCCCTTAACACATCTGGGCTGTCAGAATCTGTGGCTAGGGACTATTTTTGTTTGTGAAGCACCTTGGTGCAGAGTTGACTGGGTGTCTGGGACATGCTGGCAAAAGCAGTGCAGGGTTCCTGAACTGACTCTGGTTTGAGTGGAACAGGAGAAAAGCCTTTACTGGTTTTATTTTATTTTTCAGTTTTTTGAGACAAGGTTTTTGTGTGTAGTCCTGGAACTCCCCCTGTAGACAAGGTTGACCTTGATTTGCCTGCCTCTGCCTTGAGTGCTGGAATTAAAGGCATGTACTAGCAAACCTAGCCTGACTTCTTTGACTGGATTCTATTTAAAGGTCTTTAAGAGAAATTCAGAGGAACCTTAAAATTTATTTTCAGTTTGTATCTGTTCCTGAAGGTAGGCTGTACTAGCACATCATGTCACTGAGTGACACTGGCCAGCCATTTTCAAATACCAGGGTTTCTGTAATGCACATGGGTGGTCAGGGCGCTTCCCCTTCTATAGGTGGCGCTAAGGGGAAAAGGGCTGTGGGCTGTCTTGTCTTGATTAGCTTGTTGTGGTTTATCTGGAAATTGTAAGTTGTAGGCATTGACTGAAAGGAGCCCTGTGCACAGGCCCTATGTGTGTCCTTTGATAACAAGTGGTACCTTGGGGTGGTGGAGGCAGGTCACATGTGCAAGGTTTTAACTTTGTGCCTGGGCTTCCAGTGAACTTCGAGGCCCTGATCATCACCATGTCTGTGCTGGGGGGCTCTGTGCTCCTGGGTATCACCGTGTGTTGCTGCTGCTGCTGCCGCCGGCGGAACAGGAGCCGGAAGCCAGACAGGAGCGATGAGCGGGCCATGAGAGAGCAGGAGGAGAGGAGAGTGCGGCAGGAGGAGAGGTGAGGCTGGGCCCATTGCTCAGGAGCTTGCCTCGGAATGTGCAGCACGGAGGCCATGGGAACAAGGGTTATAAGTCACACGCTTTCTCCATTTCTAAAGATGTAGCACGTGTTTGTTGTCCAACATTTTCTGGGATGTAGTTAAAAGAGAAGCTGACAGGAGTCTCGTAGGGGTCACTGGCTGTGTCTCAGCCCTCAGGCTGCCTGGCCTACCTCTTCGACTGGTAGAGAAGGCTGGCAGAGCCCTGTGTGCTACAGTGCTCCTGCACTGGCCATGGCCTAGCCTTGAGTACTGCCGTTCTAGCCCCAGCCCCAGCCCCTAATGGTGAAGTAACCTTACTGCCGTTAGAGACTCTGGCCTGTGCCCACTAGTTCCCGGAACACTGAATTCTCTTAATGGGCGCTGGGGGCCTCGTGCAGCCCTTGGAAGCATGCTCTCGGCTCTGAATTGGGTATCACTAAGCAAATGTTAACAGTTGCCTTTTCCTGGTCACCTTATGCAAGGCTTACACCCATCTGTGTTTTCTTTATGACAACTTTAAAAGATCACAGTGTTAGACATTTGAACTCATTTTTTGGCTTCTTCTTTTTGGGGGAGGGTCTCATCCCACAGCCCAGCCTGGCCTTGAACTCTCTCGGGAGGCAGAGGCAGGCGGATCTCTGTGAGTTCAAGACCAGCCTGGTCTACTGAGCGAGTTCTAGGACAGCCTCCAAAGCCACACAGGGAAACCCTGTCTCAAAAAGGGAGAGGAAGTGCTGCAGAAGCCCCTAGCCTCTGCTCGGGGAAGCAAAAGGCCTGGGAGGTTGAGGTTACTTTGCTTGTCTGTCGTAATTTGATGTAACTTGGTTTTCTGTATTTTTTAGGAGAGCGGAGATGAAGTCAAGACACGATGAAATCAGAAAAAAATACGGTAAGATTGAGAAGTGTCTCCCTTAACTGGTTAGGATCTGGGCAGCTGCTGCTTTTCCAGAGAACTCTCCTCCAGTGAAGACAGCGGCTGTGCAGTTCCCAGGGTGCCACCAAAGGCAAAGTGTACCGAATGCCTCAAAGGTGGGAGGCACAGAGGGTTTTCATCTCAGCCACACTTTTCTTTGGCACTCATGAAGAGTGAAAGCTTCAGGAGGGGAGTCCATAACTGTCCATTTGCCTTAAAGTAGGATCTGCCTGTGTAACTGGCCTTGGTTCTGTGAGTTTCTGGGCCGTCTCTGCAACTCTTCTCTGTGTGTGTCTCTTCCTTCTGTCTTCTGAGGGGGTCAGACCACCCTCCTTTATCAGAGAACTGGCTGGGACTGAGGCATGCCATCCCTCCCTCGCTGTTTTCTGGCTGTGTCATCTTGTTTGGAATGACTGGGCAGGAACTGTGAAGGAGCCAGACTGATCATAGGTGCCAAGTGTAAGCCTGTTTGGTTCATTTGGAGTGAGTCAGAAACCCAGCGTGGTGGGTAGTCCCTGTCTCCAGTGTCGCACACCACTCTGTCTTTGGTCCTTGGTTGGTTGCCGCCTCCAGCTGGTTCTGAGCTGGTTTTAAAGCTCAGAAATGCTCTAGAGCTCTCTGCTTGGACTTTATGGCCACAGAGGTTGGGTGTTGCAGAAGCTTACCCTTCATCCACTTAGACATGGGGCCACAGGGCTGCGTGAAAGCTCCAACTGTGAACCCACTTTTTGGCCTTGAACCACTATCTTTCTTGGGGGGGGGGGCAAGGAAGGGGTTCAAGACAGGGTTTCTCTGTGTAACTCTGGCTGTCCTGGAGCTCACTCTAGACCAGACTGCCCTTGAACTCACAGAGATCTGCCTCTGCCTGCTGAGTGCTACTGCTCATCATGAGTCACTATTTTTTTTTGGGGGGGGGGGGTTCGAGACAGTTTCTCTGTATTGTTTTGGAGGCTGTCTTGGAACTCGCTCTGTAGACCAGACTGGCCTTGAACTCACAGAGATCCACCTGCCTCTGCCTCCTGAGTGCTAGGATTAAAGGCGTGAGCCATCAAGTGACCCAGTATGAGTCACTATCTTAACAGGAGAAATCTGATGAAGAAAATTTAAAGTCTTTCCCAAAACTATGCATTGAAATGATTTCATTTATTTTGCACATATGTATGTGCATGCATGCACAAACATGCTATCATGCACATGTAGCAGTCAGGGGATGACTTCTGGGAGCCAGTTCTCCCCTCCTGCCCTATGGGTCCTGTGGTCTTCAAGCTTGGTGGCAAGAATTTTACCTATTGAACCCCATCTCACCAACTCCTAAGAAATGCAGTTTTTGGTCATTTTTTTAATATAATGAGATAGCATTTTTGTGATGCTTCAGGCTCTTGCCCACTGGGAACATTATTATAACGCTGTGTGTTAGCGTTTCAGTGCTGAGACAATGCCTGAGTTAAACATCTTAGCGAGGAGGGCTTTGATTTGGCTCAGGGTGTCACAAGTTTCTGTCCAGGGTTCACTTCTGTGAGCCTGTGGTGAGGCAGAGCGTAGTGGAGGAAATCTGCTCACCTTCTGACAGCCATGAAGGAGTGTGGGGGGGGACAGCAGCCATAACAAGGAGGACCCTTTCAGGACCTGTGTCCTCCAGCCAGGTCCTGTCTCCTGATGTTGCCATCAGTTTAGAGTCCATGAATGGAGGCTGGGCAGAACAGCAGAAAGAAACAAGTTGATCTCTTCAGAGTTGGAGGGCTGGAGAGATGGCTCAGAGGTTAAGAGAAACCACATGTCGGCTCACAACCATCTATAATGAGATCTGGTGCCCTCTTCTGGCATCCAAGGCTGAATACTCAATACATAATAAATAAATAAATCTTAAAATTTTCTTAAAAAAAAAGTTGGAGGCCAGCCTGTTCTACATAGTAAGTTCCAGACCAAGCCGGGCGTTGGTGGCGCACGCCTTTAATCCCAGCACTCAGGAGGCAGAGGCAGGTGGATCTCTGTGAGTTCGAGGCCATCCTGGTCTACAAAGCAAGTTCCAGGAGAGCCTCCAAAACAATACAGAGAAACCCTATCTCGAAAAACCAAAAAAAAAAAAAAAAAAAAAAAAGTTCCAGACCAGCCAAGGCAGTGTAGTGAGACCCTGTCTCAGAACGACAAACAGAAAAGAATTCATGAATGGATGAGATGGATGAGACCCTTGATTAACTTGGCAGTCATTGTGACTCTATCACAGAGCTCACAGTGAACATTTGCTTCATTGACTAAAAGATGACTTCATGTCCAAGTCATGACACCAGTTAGTCTCTGTTATTTGGGGGGATGCTATAGCAAAGTCCAGTGGCCCCAGCACAGCATAGCTTCTCCGGGTTTGAGTTGTTCAGGTATTAAATATGCAAGTCTTTGGTCCCCTTCCAGGGGCTGTGGCGATCCTGTTACTGCTGGCATCAGGATCTGTCCCCTGTGCGCTGGCGACTGAGGAGGCACTGAACCCATGGAGCCTTCCTCCTCAGAGCTCCTGCTGAGGCTCTGCATGCTGTGGCCTCCGCTTGGGTTTGGGCTTCTCTGATGTCAGAGCTGCTGCACTTGACCTTGGCTAGCCCTTGTCTCCTGTATCGATTTCTATCCTGCTGTTTTACATTGTTTCATCTTTATGCGTTCCCGGGTTCTGGGTGAATGTGGAACACAGATATTAATATCCACCCTAACAAAGTCCTAGTAGGTAGGCTACTACACTGTCCCCAGACAGTCTTGTCATACAAGTGGGGAAAAAAAAGCCTGGCTATGGTGGCGCACGCCTTTAATCCCAGCACTTAGGAGGCAGAGGCAGGAGGATCTCTGTGAGTTCGAGACCAGCCTGGTCTACAAGAGCTAGTTTCAGGACAGCCTCCAAAGCCACAGAGAAACCCTGTCTCGAAAAAACAAAAAAACAAAAACAAAAAAAAAAAACCAAGTATGATGTGGAGTTGGGACAGTGAGGGGAGTATGAGACAAAGAAGAGAGATTGTTGGGTAGTAGAAGAAAGACGAAAGTAAATGAGGGGGTACAAACAAGGAGAAGAGGGGTGGGTACCACAGATTGATGATTAAGTCCATGTTTTGTCTCAGGCCTACTGTAATACTTGATTGTCAACTTGATGTTGTGGTCTTTTTACATAAAGTCTTGGTTTTGCAACACAGGCTGTGGAAAGAAACACATGCAGGAACTTCTCGGACTTCCTGTGATCTCAGCTGTGGCTTGTTTCTCAGGAACTGCTGGGATTTCTGTTCCTGGTGGATTTTACTTCCGTTGTAAAGTCACCTGTGGCTCAGCTTCAGCGAAGGTGGAGGACAGTGTGGGAGCCTGCTTAGCACTGTGGTTAAATCTCGATGTGGAACTTAGCTGAGGCTCACCTGTTTTGTTGCAGGAACAGAGTGGGCTGTTTTGTTTCTTTTTGTCTTTTTCTTTGTTTGGTTTGGAGTTTTTGAGCCATGGTCTCACTATGTAACTCTGGTTGGCCTGGAACTGCACTGGTAGACCTGACTGACCTCTGAACTCACAGCGGTCCTCCTGCCTTAGCTTTCCCTGTGCTAGGATTACAGGGATAAGCCAGAACACCCAAGGCCATACATTGCCTTTGTGAGTTTTGTTTCCAGTTGAGTAGGTGAAGTTGTAAGTCGTTATTTTTTTTCCCTCCCTCAGGTCTGTTTAAAGAACAAAACCCATACGAGAAGTTCTAAAGCAGCTGGCACACACTGCGGCAGATCTTGCAGTTCCAAAGTTTCCTGGGAGTGCCCTCCTCAGCATAGCCTGCGGAGACCTTACCACTACAGCCACCCGTGACCCGAGTCATCCCTCCAGCCTCAGCATGGGCACCAGAGTGGCCTTGAGAAGACAATCCTGCTCTTGTTCCCTCTTTCTCTGTATGTAATCACCTGAGACGTTAATCTTGTTGACATTCTTTTATGGGGGAGGAAATGTACTCGTCCCCACACTCTACAAAGCTGGCTGCTAAGTGGCCTTGCTGGGAGATTCACATTGTAACAAATGAAGTCATATTTACTTTGTTATGGCAAGAACTGACCCATCATCCTTGCTTTCCTAAGGCTGTGTTGTGACTGCAAGCCCATTTCTGTGACATGTCATTGCTTTAGTTTTGGTGGCTTTTTGGAAGGCATCGTCCCCACAAACAGTCTGGTACCTAGCTATATCCAGTAACACAGTAGCATATAAAGTCACTCAAAGTCTTTAGTCCCTCAGGAAACAGTCTCACCAAAACATTTCATGAAAAGTCCAGGCCTCTTCATGGATGGCGTTTTTTCAGTTTCTCTAATAGACCGAGAATCTTCTCCCCATGGGAAATCTGAGTTAGTTATGAATTCAGTTTGAGTGCCGAGTCGTCTGCCTCAGACTTCTCCAGCTGTGGTGATGCATGGCGTCACATGTCCTCAAAAGGGCTTTTTTTATGCAGATCTTAGACATCTCCCCTCTCCCTGTCAGGCTGCCCTGTTGGTCCTGTGTGTATCATGGAGGATGAGCACTTGTCCCCTGGCCAGCGCATTGTAGAAGCTGAGTGTGTAGGAAGCGAGGAGGACCCCACCCCATAATACCAACCAGAAACCCTGCCTGAGCAGACAGGCATGCCCACCTCACTTCCCACCCCGCTTCCAGCCACATCTCTGCTACTGTACCTGACACATCATCATGGGCCCTTGGTCAAGGGACACTGAGGTCCCCATGATTCTGTCCACAGTGTACATTTCTCTGAAGTCCGGAATGTCACTAGTAAGCGGATGACAAGCTTGATGGCAGGGTAAGGAGCAAAGCTATCCTCCTGGGAAAGCAGCCAGCAGCAGTTGAGGTGGCCTTATGGCAGGCTCCCTCATTCTGGACACCTCACCTAGCTAACCTTTTCAACTCTGTCGGTCTCTCCAGGAGTTCACAAACTAAGGGAATGGCCTCCACCACTCTGGAGTCTTACTGTTTTTCTGCCTTGTTAGGCATTTGATATAATTTAAAGCACCGTCAAACTTGTGGTATTATAGCAGCCAATGAGATTTGCCCTTCTACTGTCGGTTGATAAAGGAAGCCCTCCTCACACGCCTTGATGAACTTTGTATTAATATGTAGCATGTATACATCACACCTGTTAGGTTGCTGAGCTGATGTTAGAGCGGCCAACTGCTAAAAGCAGAGTGTCTAAATCTCCAGTGTAGAAACGCAGCAGGTGCTCGCCAGGCTGGCCGGTGCCATCTGAGCAGCACGAAGAGCAGCCGCAGACCTGCGCCCAAGACCATGACACCCAGTGCCTTACTTTTTAACTACTTTCCAATAAAATGGTTGAAGATGACTTTGATTTCTTTCTCTGTGCTGCCTCAAGGGTGGGCTGGGGCTGTGAGCTTTCCAGATAAGTTGAGCTCCTCGGGTTGCCCTGTGTGATGGGTACCATGTCCTGGAGTGGTTAATACTCCCTGCCTTCAGTGTAGAAAGGTCCCCTTTAGTCACCTGCCCTGTTTGTACGAAAAAAGGTTCAGCCAAAGAAACACCCTGAGCAGAGCCAAAGAAACACACTTTGGCCCTGCAACCAGAACCAAAGAAATGCACCCAGACCCTGAAACCAGTGCCAAAGAAACACACTTTGTCCCTGGAATCACAGCTAGTGAAAAAAAATACACCCAGGCCCTAAAACCAGAGCCAAAAGGCTAAAAAGGACCACTGCAAGAAACACACTTTGGCCCTGAAACCAGAGCCAAATCTGACCCTAACCCTGTGCAGAAAACTAACCAATCCCTGAGCAGAAGATCTAGCCATCCTAAGCTCAGGGATTGAAATCTGACCAATCTCCACCCTGGAAAAACTTTCCCCGCCCCCAAGAAGCCCTATACAAACCCTCCCCCAGCATGTAACATGTAGCACCTGGACAACCACCCCCACCCCCTACCCCCAGCATGTAGCACCTGGCTCCTTCAGCCCTAGAGTCTGAAGCAGAGAGGCTGGTGGTGCAGCATGGATAAGGGATGGGTGTCACTGAGCCTGCCTGTGACGGGCTGTTGGCTCCCAGGGTCTTCAGCTCCAGAGCTCACACTGGCTGCTTGAACCTGTTGTCTGTTGTGGTAGAGGAAAAAGAAGCGGGGCTGGGATTGGAAACTGGCTGTGCTGTCAGGTTAGTACTAGAGTAAGGGACACCGGCCTGAAAGTCCAGGAACCAGAACATAATGATCTGAAAGCTGCCCCACAGGGAGGCTGTCAACAGCCTGTTTGCCCAGGGTGCAGGCCTCAGTAAAAGTCTGCCCTCTTGAGGCTCATGCCTGAACTGACCTGTTTCCAGGAAACACAAGTCCAGTCTGGGACGGTACCCATGGAAACTCTCAAGTGTCCACCTTCAAACAGCACCCTGCCCAAGCTGCAGACCGCAAGAAGTGAGGACTCACCCAGCCTTGTCCTGGATCCACAGGCCTTGGTAGGTCACTCTGGGCAAATGTTAGCAATTGTCACCACAAGTGATAACGGGCTAGGAAATTCCGGGGGGAGTGTGGGAAAGTCAATGGGAGTTGGGGGGGGGGGTCCAGTTGGCAAAAATACTTGGGATTTAGGTTCAAGAACATCATCGACTTGGGCTTTTAGATTCACTCTTGGAAAAAAATATCACAGGGACTGGAGAGATGGCTCAGCGGTTAAGAGAAGAGCGCTGGCTACTCCTCCATCTCCTCCTCCGGATGGTCCTGAGTTCAACTCCCAGCAACCACATGATGGCTCACAGCCTTCTGTAATGAGATCTGGTGCCCTCTTCTGGCCTGTAGGCATATATACAGGCAGAACACTATACTTAGTAAATAATCTGAAAATAGATGATTGATAGGTAGGTAGGTAGATAGATAGATAGATAGATAGATAGATAGATAGATAGATAGATATCTAGATAGCCGGGCGGTGGTGGTGCACTTGGGAGGCAGAGGCAGGCGGGACCTCTGTGAGTTCAAGGCCAGCCTGGTCTACAGAGTGAGTTCCAGGACAGCCTCCAAAACAATACAGAGAAACCCTGTCTCAAAAAACCAAACCAAAAAAAAGTTAACACCTGCTCCAGGTGTCTGACCCAGGGAACGTGAAGGTTTGACTTTTACGCACCACCTCTGAGTGAGTAAGAGGTGGCCACAGCTGCACATCTGTGGATGCGAAACAGTGCTTGCTCCAGGAAGAGTAAGGGATAGTTTATTTCTGAGCCAGATACGTGTGGCCACGGCCCAGGAACATGGAATTAGTTTGCCCCGAAGGACATGTTCCACCTTGGGAGTGACTGTGTGAATAGCCACAGTCTCTCAGATACTATCAGTGACATTCTTAGCTTTGAGGGCTGGTAGAAGCCAGAGGTATGTTAAGTCAACACTTCCAAACGTTTTCCATAATAGTCCCAAAGATGTTAGGGCATAAACAGAGAACAGGAATGCTAAAGGCAGGATGGGTTGGGCTCTGGACCTTAGTATTCCATCCACCAATCAGGAGGAGCCACACGGACCCAGCTTCCTCAAGGAACATCACATACCCGGGTAAGCACTCTTGCTGGATGAAACTGGACTTCGGATTGGAGCGCTGAGCAGAACCAATAGCCCTCCCAGTTTGGGCGGAGGCGGCCTGAATGTGATACCCGCATGTCAAGACACTGCTGCGTTTGATCTGAGTTTTCCAGTGTGTCTGAAGTCATGAGAGTGGGGTATATTGGGCTGTGCTCACGGGTTTGTGCCGGTTACACTCCACTACAGTTGGAGTCTAGGTCTGCAGGCGTCCCTTTGTCCAGAGAGCCATGGTGGACTGGGACTCTGTCCTTCATGTTGTCAAGGGCCTCCCTACCAGCCATGGTCTTCCCTGGCACTACCCTGCCCTGGTGGGGATGTAGAAAAGTCTCCCATTACACTGCCCAGTTTCTCAGGCGAGTGCCCCATGATTGTATCTGTAGGAGTGCAACATGTAGGTGGTGTCTGCATGGCATGCTCAGCTCCCAGGGCTCTGTGTGCTCACATCAGCCCACAACTGCGTTTAGCAATGATGTGCCAATACCTACTTTATCTCAAGTCCTCCAGCCTACTTTCATGGAAAGCCTCCTTCCCTTCCCTTCCCTTCCCTTCCCTTCCCTTCCCTTCCCTTCCCTTCCCTTCCCTTCCCTTCCCTTCCCTTCCCTTCCCTTCCCCTCCCCTCCCCTCCCTTCCCTTCCCTTTTCCCTTCCCTTCTATTCCCCCTTCCCTTCCCTTTTCCCTTCCCTTCCCTTTTCCCTTCCCCTTCCCTTCCCCTTCCCTTCCCTTTTCCCTTCCCTTTTCCCTTCCCTTTTCCCTTCCCTTCCCTTTTCCCTTCCCTTCCCTTTTCCCTTCCCTTCCCTCCCCTCCCTTCCCTTCCTTCTCCTCTCCTCCCCTGCCCTCCCCTCCCCTGCCCCCCTTCCCCTCCCCTGCCCCCCCACCATCTCCTCTCCTGCGTGAGTAGTGTTCACATCTGGCCTGTGTTTGAGTTGCAACTGGCCGACCACCCTGCTGATCCCAACTCTGTGATGGGTTTCACAGCCCTGGCTCTGCAAATCATTACTTCTTCCTCTTAGAAGGAGGGTGATGCTCTTTCACTTTGCATGACCTGGGTAGGACCACCCAGCGTTTGCCTCATCTTGTCCCCTTCTGCAAACAGTGTGGATGGTAACCCTTGCACACCATGGACACAGTCGAAGGCTGGGGAGCTGCAGTTCATGACAAAGCTGTGGAAACACCTTATGCTATGACTTCCAGAACTCCCTTACGTAGATTCTACAAACTAGTTACATGGGTTGAGTTTGTTTGTAGCATTGTGGTCTCTCTAGTAGTTTGAAAACTATTCCTAATTTTCTTGAGCTGATCCTTTTTTTTTTTTTTGCCAAATGCTTTTTCATTGAAACTGAATATTGACACCTCAATCACATTGGTAACAAATACTTTTTTTTTTTTTGGTTTTTATGAGACAGGGTTTCTCTGTATTGTTTTGTTTTCGAGGCTGTCGGTCCAGCCCAGCCTCAAACTCACAGAGATCCACCTGCCTCTGCCTCCCGAGTGCTGGGATTAAAGGCGTGTGCCACCACCGCCCGGCGGTAACAAATACTTTTATGTATTTAGATGCCCCTGATTCTGTTAGCACCTGTCTAATACCTGTGTTTACATACTGAGCCAGGCAAGGGCTGTGGCTTGCTTCTCTCTCGGCCCCTCCCACTCCCCACTCTTTTGCTGGCTGCGTGTGGTTATCTGGAATGTCAATCTCAGGGATTGCATTTTTTTTTTTACAGCTTACACCAGATGTTAAGCATTAAGTGTAAGTTTTACTGGCTTCATTGCTTGCTATCTATTTTTGCCAGGAAATACATCACAAAACTTGCCCTTCTGCCTAAGAGTGATGACTTCAGATTCTTTGCAGTATGCAGCCTCCCCAACAACACACAGATTCTTGTCTTATTCTCTCAGTCTTGAGGTCCATTTGTGCATCGGGAAGTAAATTGTCGATGGTGCGTGCACAATCTGTGTGTGTGTGTGTGTGTGACTATGGGTGTGCACGCATCTGTGTGTGTGTGTGATTATGGGTGTGCACGCATCTGTGTGTGTGTGTGACTATGGGTGTGCACGCATCTGTGTGTGTGTGTGACTCTGGGTGTGCACGCATCTGTGTGTGTGTGTGATTATGGGTGTGCACGCATCTGTGTGTGTGTGATTATGGGTGTGCACGCATCTGTGTGTGTGACTATGGGTGTGCACGCATCTGTGTGTGTGTGTGATTATGGGTGTGCACGCATCTGTGTGTGTGTGTGTGACTATGGGTGTGCACGCATCTGTGTGTGTGTGTGATTATGGGTGTGCATTTGCCATGAGGATCATAAGACAGCTTTTAGGAGACAGTTCTCTGCTCCCATCTGGGTTTCAGGGATCGAGCTCTGACTGTCAAGTCTGTGGGGCAAACGCCTTTCCTTGCTAGACCATCTCACGGTCTTTTGATAACTCCTTTGCTGAGCATCTGTGGGTATGTGTGTGCTCCGTGAGTATTTGGATTTCTGAAAATGCCCAGAAACTTATCTGTCCTACCCTTCACCACTGCCCACACCACAGGAACTTCAATTGCCCCTGCTTGGGGTAGGCACTACACTGGTTTGAATCCTGCTTTTGTTTAGGATTCCTGACATGACTTTTGTCTATGTCATTGTCACTTCTCTACAGAAGTACTCTGTGGTACTGGCTTTACTTCTGGGCTCCCCCTGCTGAAGAAATCCCATCATCCAATTTCCTTGAGCATGTGCCTATGACTGAATTCTTGCCCCGTCTGAAGCAGCTCCACCCACTGCTGTATATAGTACTTTCA